GAAAAAAAGAGCTTTCTAATCAATCGCTTATGTGCATGATTACATTGTAAGTATTTATGCATTGTAGTAATATAATAAGGTTTAAAACAATTGATATGAGTACAATTATATTATTTGTTTGTTTTATTGTGTTTACACCGACACAGTATATGTCATATATCTAGGTTCCAGCTTTACAGGTTGGGTTGGCATTATTTCAGGCACGAACGGGTACCTGAGTAGAACCACCGACGTTCCGTAAGCTAGCTGGATAGCTTCCTTAAATGAAAAAATTCAAAGTCCCTGTCGGGATTCGAACACACATCCATAAGGGGCAAGTGATTTGAATGGCCTTAACCACTCGACAACGGACGCCCTTATAATTTTATTTCACCATAAGTATATACATACTGTATTGGCATATGTATGGGTGTTTTTCTCCAAAACCAGTTCCAAGAAAAAATGTCACACCACATGCTACATCTGTCCATTCCCCGCCTTGTTTAAGGATGACACAATCATTAAGTTTATGGTCGGTGGATGTATGTTGTGTATAATCGCCTTTGAAATTGTTGAATTTATATGGTGCTCCTGTATTGAGTGGAAAAAATGTACTTTATCTAAGGATAATATATTGATCACTTTTAACATTTACATATCTTATTTACGTATGGGATAATTGTTCACAGTTTGAAAAAGAAACGTCAGAAAAAAAATCAGTACGTCGAAGCAGCTCGTGTAGTAACTGGTTCAACTAGATCCGTATTAATTCAAAATTTACTTGAAATAGGCTGGGTTTCACTTTCAGGCAGACGACAAATTCACAGTCTAGTTTTAATGTATCAAGGAAAATATAATTTATTACCACAATATCTTATGCAACTTTTTCCACCATTTGTCGAGATGGCTTTAGAAAACCATTATTCATTAAGAAGTAACAGTGACTATATACCGAAATTTACTCAAAATCAGTTATTCCATCAGCTATTCAATTACGGAATAATATTCTGACAAATTTTCGCGAATCACAGTCGCTAGCCACATTTAAAAACAATATTAAACAGTTATATAAACTTCCAGTAGTTCCATCTTTTTTCTTATATGAAGATCGTTTCCTCAATGTCCACCAAACCCGAATTAGAAACAATAATTATTTTTTTGGCAACTTAAAATAATGATCTTTTTATTAACCATTATGCCAAAGCGGCGCAGACATCGAAAATGCGGAGCACTATTTTTTCGATGTAAATTATAATTATACTATGCAAAGACGTATACTTTTTTTTTAATACCAGGCCATTTCATTCTCTCAGTAGTAAGCAATTATTACACGGTATTGATGGACTTGCAGAAGCCGAAAATAAATAACTATTTCAAGAAGTGCACAATTTCATCAAAAGTAGTAGATTGTTTACCTAATTTTGTTCATACATGTACTATATTTAGTTCTATATTTAGTTTATTATTATTTATTTTTCTATTTTATCTCATTAAAACATTTTGTAATTTTCTTTGTTTTTTGTTGTTTTTAGGTTAAGCGATTTCTTTTTTACCAGTTTAAATACATGAAACTTACGTCGATTATCATATAAATATCTCAGATATTCTAAATCCCACAGTTACTAACTATGTTACCACCATTAAGCCAACAAGATATACCTTAAGGGGAGGACCCTAGATAATGTTGGTATAACTTTTGGTCCAACCCTTTTGTATGTACATTATGTGTAAGCTTAAGATAATGATATTAGATTGTGTACATTTATCATGTACAAAATATACAACACAATATTATTAAACTTAAGACAATAGATAGCTTTTTCCCGCTAGACTTGTTCCCTGCGTAATTCTAAAAAGGCAGCCATCATGGATGGGAACCATAATAGGAAAGGGAACCAGAATAATATTCACACATTATACATCACACAGGTGCAGATATATTTACAAATTGTACATTTTAAATGTTATGGTACATCTTGTTCAATTTGACCGTTTTTGTTCTAATAAATCTAAAACTGTTTTCGACAAAACACACCTGAGCTCCATCTCCACGTGCCTTCATTGGCATTTCCGCTGTCAGTTAAACCTAGCCAGACACTTTGAACATAGTTGTGCTTATTCAAAAATCTCACTAGATAATCTTGTTCGTCCTGATTTAGGACTTGTACCAAATGCCCTGTTGAAACAATGGCACAGTGTCTTTCAGCGTTACTGTACTGGGTAGCTTGATTGACTAGTTCGTAACAAAACTCGCCGTATTGCCCGAGAAATCCATTGAAACGGTTTACATCTATGTCCTTGACATATTTTGGGCATATTTCTATGTGTCCTGTTTGAATAAAGATTTTATTACATTATAGGATGCTGTGAAATGTGTTTCAGTTCTGGAAAGTTCAATATTAATGTATAACCATCCTTTAAAACACATCTTGTCATAGAAGGGTATCATTGTTTCTAAGAAATAAAAGTATGCAATATAAACCAATGATACTGCGAAATTATAGAAAAATTACTTTCTTGTGATCTGACCTATTCTAATTTTATCAATTTCCAGGCTGGCCATCACTCAATTTTGTCACTTAGTTAACAGAGACCCTTTAACTAATCATTAGCTGTCAAATTTATCCCGATTCTGAATATAAAGTTCGTTTTTATAATCCGACTTGTTTACTGGTTACATCGTGTTCAAATTTATCAAGATTTATTTAATGTTTAGTTCGTTGTTTTACTATCCGCCGTTTTTCACTGGTTACTTAGTGTTTAGGAGGTGACTGTTGTATTTTCGTGTTTTCGCCTGGCGCCCGCGATGCAAAAATACGACATGGCATAAATAAGCCACTCATAAATTAGTAAGAGTCAATACAAAAGTTTAATCATATGGTGCACTATGTATATTGTTATGTCTTTCCTAAATAATTAAGTAAGTAATGTGATAGTATACCTTCTGGGATTCCTGAAGATGGTGTCGTGTTTGCAAGTGTTGTTGTAGTTGATTCACGCGGACTCGTTGACGGTGAAGGCGTTGTATCTGTCATAAGAATGGGCGTGGTTGTTGATTTGGGCGTGGCAGTGGTGCTTGTTGTCGGTATTGTTGTTGTTACCGTGTTGGGTTGTACTGTAGTAGGGACAGGTGTGGTAGACGGCGTAGATGTGGTAGTAATCTGTCCAGCTTTTGTTGTTACTTTTGAAAAATTATATGCAAAAATTTATTCAAGTAATGACTAAATGTTAATATTCATCGATTATATCAGAAATAATACTTGGGTAGGTGGTTTCAAATACTACGTAACTTGTGACGTAATATATTTGACGACAACTATCATAAAATTTTACGTCAGGTAAAATTACGCAGTCGCAGGCAGTAAATCTGAGAATATAACAGTGTAAAGCATGGTTATTTTGAAAGCTATCATTAATAATAGGTATTGCCATCTTTACCAAGATTAGTATGAGGTTAAGTTAATGTTATCTACAAGAACAGCCTGAAGAATGTCATCCTTATCGTGACTCAGTATCTTATCAGGTATCTGTTTGAAATGAATCTTTTTTTCATAAATAAAGGATAAATATCAATAATTGAAAATATATAATTTTAAGATATAATTTTATCAGATTATACATTTTTTCCAAAACCTTCAAAGACTTATAGTTATTGCACAAGGAGATTTCTTATACGATTCATCGTGTTTATAGTTATATGCATTTGTAATCATTGAACTTAAGGAGACTTACATTTGTCTTCATCTGGAATGTCGCCTGGGCATGTCTGTAACTGCACCTGGGCATTCTTATGAATATATGCTATCTGCAATATACAGGGAAAAAATAAGTCTTAAAGGCTCATTATGCCACAAATATTCTTTTATTTTCATTCTCAAAAGTTTTTTATTTGTTTTTGATGTCCTGTTATAGTTTCCAAAAGAGTTACATATTGGCAAGCAGGTCAGTATTTTCTTTTTGAGTGGGCTAGTTGGGGCGCCTGTAACATTTCAAAGTGTCACAATGGGTTTATATTTGGCTTGCGTGACTTTCAGTGATGAATGTTTCTGTGAATAACAGAGAAGAACCATTCAGAAGCTGTCACTTGAAATTGACCCACTCAAGACATTTTAGTATCCAAATTGCCTCTAAGAATCTCTGCTCATTGGACAGTAAGTGCATTGCAATGATAAAATATACCAACCTAAGTTATAACCTGCCTGTTCTTATCAGATAGCGCAATCTGTCATCACTGGCACTGGTAATAAGGTGTGCGTACCGATGTTTAGATTTTTTTTTTACACTTGAGGGTAAATATAATATTCCATCAGCTTCCTATGCAATAACAAAAATGTGTACTTTGACAAATGAAAAAAAAAATTGTCAGTTAACTTACCTGTTTTTCGTACATGACCTGATAATAGTCTCCGCTGTCCGGACCTGCTTGTGGTTTACAGTCAAATTCATAAAGGTAGCCTATAGGCTGACTAACACCTGGTGTCCCGAGCACATTTTCCTCCACGTTGTAGTTACAGACACAATCATAATCAGTCAGCACGGGAACCACGAGCAAGGGAACCAATAAAACCCTGAAACTATTCATAGAAAGGGGTTGACAGGAATGGAGATCCGCCAAGAACGATGTAAACACAAAAAGAATACCTGGTAAAAAGCACTGAGCAGGTTTTGATTAGAGAGACCATATATTATATGCCACTTCTCTCAAGCACCACAACACCGACTTGGAAAATATCTATTTTGTTGTTGTTGTTAGGTTTTACGTCCAAGAACATTATGGCGACTGTTCAGCTTTACTTGTGTGGATGAATACCGTAGCTTCGTACATTATTTACGTCACGCACGGGGGCCTGATTTCTGCAACGACGTGCCGTAAGCAACCTTACATGAACAATTCCGAAGTCCCGGGTTGGATTCAAACCCACGTCGATGAGGGGCATGTGGTTAGATGCCAATGTTCTCGCCCACAAGGCTAATTTATGTCAATGTGCTGGCATGATGTAATTCGTGTTAATCGACTTCACAATGAAATAATACATGAGACTTTTTGAAACATCATAGGAGTAATTTAATTTGGAGTACAGGTTCAGATATTCTATGTTTACCGATATTTAATTGCATGACTAATAAAAAAAGAAATACTTGAATAACCTGCATGTGAATCATATAGCTAATAAACAGAAATGCTATGATGGTATCCATTCATTAGATATACATATATATGGCACCATTATATGTCGCCACAACGCTATAAGTCGCAATTGCCTCTTAATGTCGCACATTTGTTGCTAAATGTCTCAAAATATTTTGACGTTAAATGTCGTATTGACGACGTTTAATCTCGCACGTTAAATGTCACAAGGGATACCGTTAAATATCGCAAATATCTAAATTTGTGTTAAACAATATCTATCAGATAGGAAAGAATGTGCTGGGATGTACAAAGTAATTGGTTGAAATTTAAGTCATCTTAGGCGGTATTATAAATTAACGAGCACAATTTTTGCCAAAGAGTCCCTTGGTGGAAATACGCATTTGTATGCATGTTTTTCACTTTCCTTACAAGTCCTCGATGCGTGTACATTTGTATGTGGCCGCACGATCGGAAATCTCTAATAAAATGACAATTTGGTACCGAACCGTCTTGTCCAAAATTATACTGATTAAAAAAAAAAAAAACACTGCTTAATTCGTAATATTAAGGAGTTTAGGATTTTATTACTTCCTAATAAAAGGTATTAAACCATAATAAGAACCTTGTTACTTTTTTTAGGAGTTATTAAAAAATAATTAGGACTTATAAAAACCCTCAGTACAACATTAATTTTTAGTCACAGTTACAACTAATTAGATGTTTTTACTCATAAAAAGGAGAAATGAACCAAAATATAACTCTAAATAAGGAAATGAAAAGGCCTAACTAAAATATTATTAGGAGTTGAGATATGAAATCTGAATAACATATAGGTTTTTATAAGGAATATATATGGGAAAAAATCGGGACTTTCATTTTGCTTCGACACATCGAGAAAATCGACTAATCGAAGTTCGACTCATAGAAGTTCTACTGTAGTTCTTTCCAATACCAGTGAGGAGCTTCAAAAGCCTTAAAATGAAACAAAAAACCTAAATTCGTAACTTCTGATATATATTTTATGGTAAAAAAAAACATAGAAGATTTATATTCCTCTTAAACTCATTATGAGGACATGCCGAATTCTCAAAATATTATGTTTTTGAAGGGAGATTTTGAAATATTTGTAAACGGTCGTTTTTTTCTGTTATCTTCTGGAGGTCATGCAGCTGCTTTAAACGCCACGCCAACACTATTTGATAGTTCACTTCTCTGACCTAGTAGTTGCAAACTATATCCTTTTATTAATCAATGGTCTTAACATTCTAATTGTAAACAAAAGTGAAGTGGTCTATGATGGAATTGTTTTCCGAATTATACGTTTCTATTGTTTTTATCAATGTATTTCTTTGAAAAGTTTCTATTGAAAAACAATCCACTTTAAAAAGTATTCTTTCATCTCGAGTCGGCAGATGAATCGGGACATTCCTTTATGTTCAAAGCTACTAAATATATATAGAAAAATTACTCGTTGTTAATTGTTATTTAATACGAGTAGCTAAATTGATTTTATCATGCGTCATTAAGCGGAGGTGATGCGACATCTTAAATGTCTTAAGGCAATTATGCGACATTTAACGTTATCATTGTGTCATTTTAATTTAACGCTAGAAGATTTTGCGATATTTAGCGGCGGTTGCGACATTAAGCAACAATAGTTTGACATTTGGCGGCGTTGCGACGATGCCCCAATGTGTAAGTCCCTTTATAGTTCAGTCGTAGAGCCGCGGAACGGATTTATATGTTCCTGTGAAATTCCTGCGACAAGTGAAATTCCTGCGACAATGGTACATACGTATATGTATTTTAAGATGCATAACAAATTTTATTACAGAAAATGATCCTGTTTTTATCACAATAAATTATTTTTTTAAGCATTAGATATTTCTTTATATTTCTCACGTTCTGTAAAAAAATGCATGTCAGACGGTAATTATGCCGTATTTTATATATAATTTGGTGTACAAAGGCAAAAAAGAATAAAAGAGTACAAAAGGCAAAATGTATATATATAGAAAATATTGTGTTGCATGTCCGCTGTTTGCAGAGATAGGCCTATCTATTCATTTATTTTTAGTTTAACTTTTCAAAATAGGTTATTTTAAAGTTATCTCAAATTAAAATAATGCAAAATTATTGAAATTCTATATTGTCAAATTGTTTACAATATTTTGAGTTTATCAGCACTTTAATTACAAGCAAAGTTCCATACCTTATCATCGCTCTGACTTGTACAAAAAGAATGAAATAATTGATAAGAAGCTAAATACTTTAGTTCATGATGTATAAACGTAAACATTTAAATTTAGATTTTTCTGGTGTGATGTCACACAAGTGATAAGGCAAGCGGAACTACTTGTTAAAGTTAATGGCGCTTTTCCATTGGTACGTGATCCGCGATTCGCGCGTACGCGACCGATTTTCTATTCCGTTTGCCCGTTTATCATCCGCGTCCGTGACGGCATCCGTGACGCGGACAACCACCAGATAGGTCTCTTTACCACAAGACGCCGCTTTATTATTTTCGAAATAAAATAATGAAAACCTAATTGAAATAGCGGGAGAATCCACAACATTAAGATGCATCGCTTGACAGAAATTACAAAGACATTGCTGTGCGAAAAAAAAAATCTGATAATCAGTTGCAAAAAGAGAAGAAAATCAAAAACCCTAACTGGTATTTAATGTTGTTTTCTTTTTTTTTACCTTAATCCGGGTGTTTAGGTATTAGAAGGAAATTATCTTTTATATAAAAGTTGAAATTAATTCTTTTACTATTTCAATCGAGGGAAAGATGTTGTTCGCATGTCTGTATTTCACTGAACCTTTAATGGTTCCATTTACGTACCTATGGAATAATACTCAGGGGATATGTATCCCGTATCGGTACAATAGAATAGCGACCTAATTCTGGTTTGCTGATTTGGTTGTAATTTTAGTAATTTTGGTTCAAGGTTTTAAAATTGATTTATGAATCAAATCGTTATTGTCTCAATATTTGCCCTTTTTTCCTTTGGATGTTTAAAAATATTTTGATCGTAAATTATGTAAAATTTACATCCTTTTTTTTGTTTACATATGTTTACCTTGTGGTAGAACTACTTTCAATCCGAGAATAAAAGTTGAGGTGTCTGATAACTGATATTGAGGCGGGAGTAGATGTGGGTAGAGTACATTTCATTGGACTTAATCCAATCAGCAGTGACTATCTATGAAACATTGTTTCAACATGTAAAAAAATAATTTCACTTAATGTCAGCAGTAAATTAAAATAATGTAATTACATTGTTTTATCCATGCTTTATTTTGTTTTAGCTTAGGCTATACCAAGAATATTCAAGGGAAAATCGTAAAGTAATTTCTGGTGTGCTGTAGGCAAGGCGAAAATTTGCTTTGTAGAAAACTCTTGATTATCTTGGTGTTTGTTGATATTGTACGTTGTCTTAACTCATTGCGGCTTTTGCGTCATCGTCGCTTTCTGCAGTTAAATATTTTTGGGTTTTTCTTCAAATCAAAAATTTGGAGCAAAATTTAAATGAAAAACCCCTTGGTTTACACTTTGGGGGGCGTTCTTTACAAACGTTCAAAAAATTTCAAAACGCCGATTTTGGGACCCGTATACAAGATTCAAGTATCGGGCCGGGAGCGGGTTTCCTTTGGTATTCGCAGTGGTATCGCATAGGCCCCGGCCAACGGGGGCGTATTTTTTTAACCCCGGGTCAAAACAAAAGCCGTCACTCCCGGCCCCTTCTGATAAAAGGCCCCAAAGTATCGAAAATAAAGGGCGCCCTAGGGTTTTCGGTTTTCAGTAATTTTATTTCCTGCAACACAACAGGGGCCCCAAAAAGGCCCCCGTTACCCCTTTAAAACTTTTAACCCCGTGAAACCCAAAAAAAGAAAAACATCTAATGGGTTCATGACTAACCTTCGTGCCAAATAAGACTGTTATGTGGGTCAAAGGATTCTTAAGTTATTGGGCGAACAAGCTTTTTAGTCAAGGCCCTGTGACCTTGACCGGGTGACCTCAATATAAGTGGTCGTCTATTAATCATGACCAATCTTAATACCAAATATGAAGACTGTGGGTCAAAGGAATCTTAAGTTATTGCGCAGACAAGGAGAACGTTACCCGACGGCCGGACGGACGGACAAGCTGATTCCAGCATCCCAACCCCCTACTGTGCGGGGGGAGGCTAATCGATCATAGTCTTTTATAAAAACTGCTCATCCAATTATAAACAATGTCTAATTTGAATCTATTATATCTTTTTTGCATGCAACACATCGATCAACATGCTAAATATATCCGTCTCCAACACGGCAGTGTCCAGGATACGAACTCCGTATCAATCGGTTGCCATATAGAGCTACAATGTAGAAAAGAATAACTAAACCATATTGCCGATATGACGACATTAATCCTATATCGGCCCGATATAGTCATGCTGGCTGGGTCA